AGGGAGAGAGGGAGGGGGAGGGAGGGAGAGAGAGAGAGAGGGAGGGAGGGAGGTAAGAAAAAATTATGTAAAAGAGAAACATGATAGTACTGATAGAGAGTGTCGAAATGACAGAAATTGAGAAAGGAGAGAGAATAAAACACATGTACATGTACAGGTGAAAGCATGTATACACTTAATTTATTGTTTTACTTTGGTTGCTGTCGTATTTTCTTTCTTCTCTTGTTCTTTGATTCTTTGTCTCTCCTTCATTGCTCTGTGCTCAATCACAACCTCCTCCCTCTCCTTATACTGTACACACACACACACAATGGAAAAAATAATATTAATCAATTACTGCTGTATACATGTACATATCAACAACAACAACAACAACAACAACAACAACAACAACAACAACAATAATAATAATAATAATAATAATAATTACGACAATTACGTGTGTACATGTACATGTATACATGTACATGTGTATGTGTAGGTGCAAATATTATTATTAATTTTTTTTAAATAATAAATAATATGTGACCATAATTGACAAAAGGTACCTTATGGCGGGTAGTGAAATTTGTCTTTCTAGCCTAAGAAATCCAAGTTCCTGAGCCCCATTTATCATAAAATTACTCCACAGGATGCAAAAAGTTACCATGAAACTTTTAGAAACAATGATTGTCTAACAAAGCACTCACAGGTTGATATTTTCCATTATAACAATCAATTTTAAAATCCGCCATAAGGGCCCTTTTGTCAATTATGGTCACATATAATAAAAATATTATTATAAATTTTATTATAATTATTATTTGGCAGTGTCTCTCAAAATCCTTTGGCAAAATCCCTCCAAAATTACAAGCAAAGTCATTATGTACATTTATCTATTTTTAAACTCAGACACACATACATGTATGTATACTGTATATGTACATGCATTTATTAATAATTTATTATTACATGTACATTATTTTATATCATACATGTACATATACATGTATAATAATAATTATTATTATTATCATTAATTTTACTTCAATGTGCTTCTTGAGGTAGTTTTCAATCTCAGCATGTGCTCTCTTCTCTTATGCTAGTTCTTGTTTCAGTCTCTCCCTCTCGTTATAAAGGTCAGACTCTTTATTCTGTTGCTGTCTCTGACTGCACTGAACTTTGACCTTTTGAAAAAACAATAATAAGCAACTCATTAATATGCGTGCATGTGTGGGTGCATGCATGCAACTGGATTGATAAGAAAGCAAAATACATGTA